GTTGACTCCAGGCTTCACAGAGGGGAAGGACGTTCAAAATGGAAAAAATAGTCGAGAGGGTGGAGGGGGGAACAGAAGAGTGTTTCAGAGATGTAAAAGGGGCAGGGACAAAGACAGAAAAAGTAAGATGAGTACTGTGGAAGGGGTCGAATACAACATACAGTGGGGTGATGGCAGTTTGAAGTAAGAAGTCAACTGCCATTTAATAGACTTTTTTGCCGTATGAGTATACGTTGTCCAGGGTGCACCATGAGGAGGTAAGTCTATCCTACACCCCAACTAAAAAACATAAGCTGAGGTAAACGCTATCCACTTTATACGTTATGTCTCCTAGAAACTGTTGACAGGAGGAATTTACCTTTTCTAAGATTTTGTCAGATAGAATTGTTGTGGTTTGGTCAAGGTTTAGTAAAGTGTTACTCCAAACAAGACCAGCCATGAGAAATCTAGTTAAGACTTCATGCGATTTAAATTTTTTGAGGTAAACTATTCATTATGAACTGCGTATTTTCATGACCAATAAAAGCAATGACTTTTCGATATAATAGCAAGAACTCGCAATTTACATTTCTCTGGTTACATCAACTGCCCCTACAAATCAATCGGTCATCAATTAAGCATTATCTGGTAAATTCAGGTGAAGATAAGGCAATCGGAATATAGAACCAAGAAGCAATGTATTGTCAAACGAATAATTAGTGTAAAACTCAAACCAACCAATGAGCTGTGGTTCTCTTGTTGTACATACTACTTATTCAACTAGTAGTTCATTAACTCTTTAACGCCGAATTATTTTTTGTAAAGTGCATCCAACCACACTCAAGTGTACCTCACAGCAGACTGATACCGCCGATGTGATGAGTTTTGGTGGTGTACTAATTATTTCATCTCAAGTACTTCGACACTCTCTGTTTAATTTACGCAATAGTCCTACAATCCTAGCTTCTTGAACGAGGGATATTTACAAGCTCGTGATGTCACAGAAATCGTATGTTAGTGCCATATTTAGCCCCGATTTCTGAACTTGCCCATCTGCCCATTCCTTTAAAGTATTTTCCGCATGATATGTAAAGTGCTTTTTGGCTTTCTCTTTAATGACTTTAAAATTCGAATAGAAGAAAATTAGAATTACTTACAATTCTACCAGCTAACTTTAAATATATACCCGTTTCATAAGCTTTAACACAAAGTGCCTTTTGGAGGAGTACATACGTCAGCCATGTGAATCGGCGGAAAGTTTCTGGCCATTCGGCATCTGAGCTTGAGGCAATGTTATTATGGACGCCTTCAAGTTAGTTGGAAGAGCTTTCGGCTGAGTGATCAGGCTGCGTTTGAGATCAGCGTCACTTCCCAACTTTTCCACCAACCACTCCCTTGAAACTTTTATCCGCAAAAAGGGTTCTATGTGTGGATGCCCATCTTTTCATACACAAATTGAACAACCTTCACCATATTCCATCAATTCAGCTCCCTCACATTAAATTAACTTACCCGTTTTCCTATGTTCTCTTGACATTTGAGAACGATTTATTTTCGCCCTCCCTACAATTAATCTACAAAGCCTTCAAAAAATGTCAAATCTAATTAGTTGTGTTGGGATGTTGGGAGAGGGGGGGAGGGGGGAGGGGGGGAGAGGCGGAGAAGGATGCGAGGGTGAAATAGGGAGGAAATTACCCTTCTTTAGACAAATGAGCCTATCTAGGACTGTATAGAAATATGCATCTGATTAGACACTTTAATAATGGATCTAAAGAGGTACTTTGAGGGGCATATAGATAGAAACCTTCCCAAAATCAGTACATGAATAGAAATATGCTTGTTGGTAGTAGAGAGCATAGCATTAACTATCATTTCGTAATGAGTTTGAGAACTCTGGTCACAATCGGTCTAGAGTTTACAATTAGGAATATGCGAAACCATCTCCACGACAGTACTTAAAGATCGTCTGTCTACTATTACTCAGCAAAATTTTGACTGCGCACCAGTGTCTATCAGCCACTTATACTAACTCAATTAACAGTTCACTTCTAACTGACAGTTTGCTGGAGGTCCAAGGCTATCACTTTAGGAATTAAGATCATTAGCTAAGTTGAGTAGAATACAAAGAATTGAGCACCGACCGAGGTCTACGCTATAATGGGGGAGAACTGAGGGAAAGAGTATCAAACTGGTAGACAAATGACGAGTGAGCGTGTGGAAAATCGATAACCGTTAGTATGAGTCATACATGTAGGCATGATGTGCTGATGATTCAATTAGCACACCCAGTTATGGCAGTTTTGGGTTTGCGTCATAAAGATCCGAAGGCAGAACCGCAATCTCGTGCCCTATAAACCAGAGCATTGACAAAGTGTGTGCAATCGAAAATCAATTTTGGAAGGAGCATTGGAAGTCATATTTCAAGCTAGACCAGACTTTGTTGCTCCCCGTCTGTGATGTCACATGAAGACGAAGTAAAGGCTTGCTGACCAGATCTAAATGGATGAGGTAGGTATGGCAACTCGAAAAGCTAAAATATGAACTATTTTGACCAAAGTAGAGATACTATATTGTGTGTATGGGGTGTGCGATAGACTTATCTCCGCGTGGTGCACCCTGGGCAAAGTATACTCATACGGCAAAAAAGTCTATTAACTGGCAGTTGACTTCTCACTTCAAACTACCCTAAAAAAGTCTATTATTCGGCAGTTGACTTCTGACTTCAAAGCGGCAAAAAAGTCTATAAACCGGCAGTTGACTTCTCACTATCGGCAAAAAAATTCTATTAACCGGCAGTTGACTTCTGACTTCAACGGCAAAGTCTATTAACTGGTAGTTGACTTCTCCGCATACGGCAAAAAAGTCTATTAACCGGCAGTTTTCTTCTCACTTCAAACTACCATGACCCCCCTATATGTCCTACATTCTCATACGGCAAAAAAGTCTATTAACCGGCATTTGACATGACTTCAAACTACAATCACCCCACTGTATGTCAAATTCGACTACTTGACTTCAAACTACCATCATCCCACTCTATGCCATATTCGTAAATTCGACCACTTCAACAGTACTCATCTTACCTTTTCTCTTCGACTTCTCACTTCAAACTACCATCACCCCACTGTATGTCAAATTCGACCCCTTCCACAGTACTCACCTCACCTTTGCTCTACTGTCGACTTCTTCCACAGTACTAACCTCACCTTTTTTCTACCTATTTCTCACTTCAAACTACCATCACCCCACTGTATGTCATATACCTCTGACTTCAAACTACCATCACCCCACTGTATGTCATATTTCACCACTTCCACAGTACTCACCTCGCCTTTTTTCTACCTTCAGTTGACTCTGACCCCACTGTATGTCATATTCGACTAAGGCAGTTGACTTCTCACTTCAAACTACCATCACCTCACTTATGTCATATTCGACCCCTTTCACAGTAATCATCTTACCTTACTGTGTCATATTCGACTACTTCCACAGTACTCACCTCACCTACAGTTGACTTCTCACTTCAAACTACCATGACCCCACTGTACGGTAGTTGACTTCTGACTTCAAAGACAAAAAAGTCTATTGATCGGCAGTTGACTTCTGACTTGCAAAAAGTCTATTGATCGGCAGTTGACTTCTGACTTCAAACTACCATCACCCCACTCTATTACTTTAACGGTACAAGTCTATTAACTGGCAGTTGACTTCTCACTTCAAACTAACAAGTCTATTAACTGGCAGTTGACTTCTCACTTCAAACTACTATGACCCCACTGCTTGTCATATTCCACCAATTCCAAAATTTCGTTTTTAGTGCGGCGATTAATTACAGGTCATGAGCTCGATTTTCATTGCGCTCACCAATTGGAATGGCCACCCGCACTGGTCACATGTTGGCAGAATTTACATTCCACACAAAAGAATCCTGTCATGTTATCCTTCTATGGAAAATGGATGTTGGCTAGTGATGACTTCATCTCTTAAATACGAACTCTCGAGATCAAAGATTATGTTGTGAGTGGCCAACCCTCCCGGTTAAGTGTTATCAATATGAGAGCTAGTTGAACGTCCTTGGATCGTTTTCTATAAAAACCCTAGTGGGGTGTGCGACAGACTTACCTCCACGTGGTGCACCCTGGGCAACGTATACTCATACGGCAAGAAAGTCTATTGATCGGCAGTTGACTTCTGACTTCAAACTACTATGGCCCGACTATTTGTCATATTCGACCCCTTCCACAGTACTCATCTTACCTATTCTCTCCCTTTGTATCAGTCGGTCACCTTTAAATCTGTGAATCATTATTCTGTCCCCCTTTAGTCTTTTTGTCACTTTGATGTTTCTCCTCCTCTCTATGAGACCAAAAGTCAGCTTAAGGGCTAAAGATAGCTATCAAAATGCCTGCCATTTGAAATAAATAAAAACTCTAGTACAATGGCCATGAGGATATTGAACCTTATCAACACACGCCGCTTGGAACGAATTTTAAACTAACATTTCCCTATTGATGCCTGTCATCCATACAATTCCTCAAGATGCAAATCCGCACCAATTAGTTGGTAAAAATCTATCACAATCTAAGGGAACGCTAAGTCTATTTTTTCTGTTTAAGGGTAGGGCCAATACTCACCTAGATATTAGTCTGCAACTTTTATACCCCCAAACAAAATTCCACACACAAATTGATAAAACTAAGGGAAATTTAAAAAATATTAGAACCGCCCGTTGCTAACTCCCGCAGCGCATAGGATACTCGTTAATAAAAAATCGTTATGAAGTGATTTGCTAACTCTGTCAGTTAGAATAATCGCTATCAATTAAGTGGATTCGCTTACAAACAAGAGCGATGAATCGTGTTCTACCTACCCCAAGTGCGAAGCATAAATTAACCTAATATACGATACGATAAGTAGTAAAATAGATTTTAAAAAACGCATAAAAATATATACATAATTTTCTTTAGGGTCACAAGTACAAATTCTGAATGTTAAGGGGCAGAGTTGGTGAAAACACTACCTTATGAAACCAGAGGCCCAATAAGAAGATCGGATTCGTGTTTTTTTCCACATTTTGCATTTGCACCGCCAGGGCACGTTATGTCAAAGCAGTAACTCGCCTTGGGAGGGATTTTGAAGACCTCATCTTCCTCCTCTCGCAGTGCTTTGACTTTCTCGGCTGTAGGTGGAGTTATTGAGTATTTGGAAAGCTTCTCCGACCTTGGACATAAATCACTGATATGGATCTTTGTGCATCCATTGCCTGGTTTGCAAGTTATATCCAAGCAATATTTCATTGGAAGCTGAGGAACGTTATAAGGCTTGATATCCGCGAGTTTAAATGGCTGTCGACATTGTGGACATAAAAGTGAACCATTATTTGGCTGAAGTTTCTCGAAACAGGCTTTGCAATAATAGTGATTACAATTTGGTGGCGTGTGGGGATCCACAGAAACTTCTAGACATATAGCACATTCTATCTCGGCAGTCATGTCGCGACAATTCAGGTTGAAATTGTGAACAACACATGTTAAACCTCACCTCTCCGCACACAGCCAATTGAAAAACAGCATTATTTCTGCGCGGTTTCTATTTAGTAAACCAACCTGCCTATTACCATTTTAAAGCACATGCCCATAAAATGCCCGTGGCTCAGGCTAATTGCTTAAAATATGAGGCTGCTTGAAATTCGGAGCAATACTGAATTATGAGATAAATAAGTGCAAAATAAAAACAGGTTTTAAAAATAAAATAGATTTGGAGATGAATTGATAATTAGCCTAAGGGGCATATTGTGCACATAAGAAATTGGGAAAAGGATAGGACACTTGTGGGCACTTTTTCATAAAATCTTCCTTATTTGCTGAAAACTGAAATGATTTAAACCACAAGTTTTATGATTATTTCAGACTGTCACTCTACTTAACCTGATTTCAAAGGCGTTTGAATGCCGGTCGGATGCGATGTTGCAAATTATCGTCCTATTAGTACTATATCTGCTTTGAATTGCGAGGCATTTGAGTTATCCAATAAGAAATTTGCGTTCGGACTGTTGAATAAACAATTACCAAATAGCTTAAATGATGAACGTCAATAAGACAAGAGCAGCAAAATAAGATAAAGGAGTTTATTGTACATAAATCTTTACGCGAAATTACTGTAAAATTCAGTTTGGGAATTAATCTCCATTCGGTTTGGCTAATGTTTCTTGCCGTCCGCGTTTCAGACCCATCGATTTTTGGTGGTTGAGATAGCAAACCTCATGACCACAGAATAGCCAGCCATCACACGGCGGTGAGGAATACCGTTCCCGCCCACGCTTTGCCCCCATTCCAAACCAAATATTCTTTGTGTCGGATGAGACTTCACTCCCAGGTTGTAACGATTCTTCAAGATCTTTTAGTAGGCAAATGGGAAGTGCTTGTTCAGAATCGAAGTTCTGTAACAATAATCAATAAATGACTTTGTATAGTTTTCGCTACTTGCATTTGTAAGTAGAATATATTTAATTGTTACAAATAACTTGAGCCTAAAGGTCGTCAAGAATGAATTTCCCCAGGTCAAATAATTTAGATTTTAAAAAGTAAAAAAATGAATTTGAAAGATACATTATGGGGAAATTTAAAATTGACTCATCAAATAACAAGTAGGACAGGCGCATTTTTCTACTTTCCCAAACCCTCTTCATTTTTTTGAAATGCTGAAAAAGTTCGAATGGTAACCAATTAATTCCAATTACTAAATTAAATTTGACATTAACGTAAATTCTAGAAGTTTTGTGGTGTGTTTCCTACTTATTAAGTTTCTGAAGACGTATTATTACAAGACTTTTCGGCATTATAAACGAAAAGTTATTGAACATTCAAACTCTTCTATAGTACCTAGCTACCTAATTGATCAATACGTCTATCGTTCACTTCCATGAGTATTCCACAATTAGAAACGAAGGTTTGACTTCAGGGGTGTCAGATGCGTACGTTGGTTACATGACCTTATTACTTAAAATCTCATTAACACCTCCCAAATATGGTGTCATTTTAAGGTGAATAAAAATTGAATAAATGAAATAACTCACATTTTTGCAGATGGAGCATAGTTGCTCACGAGTAATGGAAGGAAAGTGTTGACTGCAAACGATATCTCCACAGGGTACAACTTGAGGCGTTTCACAAGCTGCATGGCAGTGAGCGCACCTAAGCGTTGCCTCCTCCTTTGCCATACGTTTGTAATGTGGCTAATGTTGAAAATTTACTACGGATGTGTCGTGCCTTGGCAACGCCCCAAACCACTATTTGTCTATTGGTCAGTTCGAGTTCCTTCTCGCCTCCGTGTCTTTGAATCACACATGACTGATTATCGCAATTATCAACTGATCTAGATATAGGACAGCAGTAGAATTCGCATCTGCTTATTGACGTTATTAGTTGCAAGAAGTTGAGTAAAGTTAAATTTGTTTAACTATAAAATTTTTACTGCCTACGTCAATGCAAGAAAACAAACAATCTTTAATCAGGTGTAAACTACTGAAGAGAAGTATTATTATTATATCAAATGGCAGGCGTTTTGATGGTTATCATTAGCCCTTTAGTTGACTTCAGGCTTCATAAAAGGAAAGAACATCAAAGTGAAAAAAGTCGAGAGGTTGGGAGGAGGGGGGGGGGGGAACAGAAGAGTGTTTCAAAGATGTTAATATGACAGACATAAAGGTAGAAAAAAGGTGAGGTGAGTACTGTGAAAGTAGTCGGATATGACATACAGTGAAGTCAGAATTGAAGGTTCAAAAGAATGGCCTTACTTGGAAAAACCTCTTAGCCAATCAGCAATCGGATTTATGCGACATATAACAACTTTTACCTTATTGAATGAGGGTGTGCGATAGATTTATCTCCACACGGTGCACACTGGGTAACGTATATTCATATGGCAAAAAAGTCTATAAACCGGCAGTTGACTCCTCACTTCTAACCACCATCACCCCACTGTATGTCACATTCGACTACTTCCACAGAACTCACCTCACCTTATCTCTACCTTTGTGTCTGTCTATCTGTCTCTCTTACATCTGTGAATCACTCTTCTGTCTATCCTCTCGAATTTTTCCCACTTTGATGTTCCTCTCCCTCTGTGATGCCTGAAGTCAACTAGAGGGCCAATGATAATTATCAAAACGCCAACCATTTGATATAAATAAATCTTTTTGAAAGACTATGCACGTTGCTAGTTTTTCAAATTATGAAATAAATGTTTTTAACTTTATACAAGCCGTCTTCTCGATCTAATTGTTTGCAAATAGACACCACAAGAAGGTCTCTGTATTTGTCTACAGCTGATTAGACTTCCAGGGGAATTATCAAAGTTAATTAAAATATTTATTTGTGAGGGAATAACTAATCACCCTTTTCACCAAGTTATTTCAGTAAGGATGGTTCGTGACACAAAATTTCGTCAAGTGATTCCTATTACTCAGAGTGGTTAAAGAACTTTAAAACATTTAACAGTGGAAAGCCCAGCAAACGACACAGAAGAGACAATCACAATGGTTCTAAGTTTTGAATGGTTCTTAGTCGATTTGATTTTTGGGTTAGAGTTATTAATATCTTTCTAAACGGGTAGTTCCCATTCTCGAACTCAAATCGTATAATTCGTTTCCCCGATATATATATGACAAACAACAAATTAATAATAATTAATGAACCATGACTCGATTTAATTTTTTTAATTGTAAGCTGGAAGTTTAAATTCATTTTCAAATTTGTAAAACAGAATGAAATATTTTTTATAGTAATAATGACAATAATTTTGGCTTCCATTACCAACTGAAAATTTAAACTGACCAAAGAAATAGTCGGAGATTTCATTGGTTAATAAATTGTATTTATGAAAATAGTTTGGAAGGGGTGAGATTTTGTGTCCTTATTTATTTCTCAAACGTTACCTGTTACCTTGCGCCAATCTTTACTATGACAACGGTAAGAAAAAGTCAAGATCAGGACGAGAATGGATCAGTAAGAGTGAGTGTATTTCAGTAGTTGCAGTGGAGGTCGTATGCGAAGGACGCAACAGGCAGAGTATTTGTATCAAACGGCAGGCGTTTTGATGGTTGTCATTAGCCCTTTAGTTGACCTTAGGCTTCACAGAGGGAGAGGAACATCAAAGTGAAAAAAGTCCAGAGGGGGGGAACAGAAGAGTGTTTTAAAGGTGTAAAAGAGACAGACACAAAGGTAGATGAAAGGTGAGGTGAGTACTGTGGAAAGAGTCGAATATGACATACAGTGGGGTCATGGTAGTTTGAACTCAGAAGTCAACTGCAGGTTTATAGACTTTTTTGCCGTATGAGTATACATTGCCCAGGGTGCACCACGTGGAGGTAAGTCTATCGCACACCCCATTTCCGGCGTAGTAAATGTTGAAAAGAAAAATGATCATGGAATCGTTTGTGATTCTAGCAAACTTTGTTGAAACCTTTCACAAAATACTTTAAAAATGGAAAGTTTAGTTCTTGAAAAAAACCTCCACTGAGCTGTAGATTTTAAGCTATTGTGTCTCTCGTCATGAAAGCCTGTATATTTTTATGCCCAAGTCACCCAATTCGCAAAGATTATAGCAAAGAAACGCCCAAGTGGTTTAATCGTGTCCAACATGTTTTTTTTGAGTCCCAAAATCACTGTCACCTGGCTGGAGCCTTTTAAATACAAATAAAAGTTTTGTTTTGTTTTGTTTTAGTTTGAACAAATTATATTATGTTAAATGAAGTGAATATCGTTTTCTATGGAGAAAAATGTAAGCAGATGAATTGTGTTAAAGAAAAATTGAATTACTTCACTATTTAATGAAAAACAATTAAATTAAGCGGAAAAACATGTTCTTGTTGTTGCTAGTATTTGGTGCAATCGAGAGGAAAAATCGTTAAAGTTAAATTTTTAAACCTCGAGATTGTGTAACGCGAAAGTAAAACAAAACAACCGGAGTGTGACAATTGGCTGCCACTACGTTACTTCCTGTGCCTTCATGAACCGCATCTCTTGATCGTTCCATTGAACTTCCTGTCAGCTGATTTCACTTGTTCCCAAACAACTACAACTTGTGCAACTTTTGGTATTTTACTTTTTTGTTTAATTCCACCTCGAGGGTGAAGTAGGACAAAGATATTTGTGAAGATGGCCATATTTTTCTAATGCAATTTCAGTAAAACCTTCTTAGGGGAGGGGGGGGTAGTTAAATTAACTCTAGTGAGCCCTACCCGAAAGTAAATAAAGACTCTATGCAAGAATGAAATTGTTCGTTCGTAAAACACATATGGTATTGACTAAAGTGGCTTAGGGTACATTATAGACTCACCTTCACGTGGTGCATAAATCTAAAAAAATGCAGTAAACTTCTGACTTCAAGCTACCATGACCCGACTCCATGTCATATTCCACCACTTCCACAGTACTCACCTCATCTTGCCTTTATATCTAACCTTGTGCCTGTCTCTTTTACATCTATGAATCACTCTTCCATTCCCCACCCCCCTCCTAGACTTTTCTGACTTTGTCTGTTCCTCTCCCCTGTGAAGCCCGAAGCCAACTGAAGGGGTAATTATTACTATCACAATAAATGAATAAATGTTGCCTTTCCAGAGATTATGAGATTGCTACTTATAACTTACAACCATATCATCTGTTAATCACTGTTCTGTCCCCAATCCCCCCCCCCCCCCGACTTTTCTGACCTTGAAATCCGAAGTTAACTAACTGGATTTGAAATTTATTACTTTGAATTTAAAAAAGTCAATATTTTTCCTTTCCTTTTTTGAACATGAAAAACGGATAGCTGTGTGTTTGAGAGAAGAAATTAGTTATTTAAGTAAATTCCATTTATTCCGATAATTTAAGCACATTGATATGTCTCTTTAAATCACTCTCTCTCTCTCTTTCAGGGCTACTCCGAAGCGAACTTTTGTTGCCGATTGGCATGCTGATTGTCATAGTGACGATTCAGGAGCATCTGCTGATTGAAGATGGTTTCTCTCAGCTGATTGATCATGGTGATGAGATCCTGTTTGGTCTCCAATAAATTGGTTCTCTGTTGACGATAGAAGGCCTCTGATGGCATAGGAGCGGGATATCCAATCTGATCTGTGTCCGAGTCATGCTGCTGAGCTGCAGCGATTGAAGCAAGGAGGAATAGACAGACAAGTGAGGGAGTGTTCATTGTTACCTGAAACAGGGTAATTGAAGAGTGTGCACAGTGCCAATATATAAGTATGGTGAATGCAAATACTTATTGTTCAAGTATCAATCAAGAGGGATCAAGTTAACTTGAACTCTGAAGCAATCATGAGCATCTCAAGGATTCTCTTAGGTGTTTCGTACAAATAGTTTATAATTTTTTGCCATTTTTTAAATTATTTTAAGCAATTCAAAAACAAAAGAACATGGCATAGAAAAGGACATTGTGCAGTGTCTTGATGAAGTGAAAAAGTCGATTAAAACCCCTCATTCCCAAAGTTAAGTGTTTACAATTACAATAACATTTGATTCGGAAATTTTTAAATGGCAATTTGGATTTCACTATGCATTATTATATTAAAGTGGCTAAATTACTGTCTTCCAACGCCATACACTGCACGTATTGTCATTAATTGTGGCATTAATCGATTTTTTCAACAAAATCATGTTTTTGGAAAATTTAAATTCCTACATTTTTATCCCAGCCACTCATTACAGCCACTGAGGTGACTCTCTAACCACTCGAGAAGGCACACAACCAAGCATTACGACTAATTACTGGAGGGATAAAATCAACACCCATTGATGCAATGCTCCTAGTTACAGGAAGCACCACAATATGTTCCCTTATCAAAGAGAAGGCCCTGATCCATTATGCGAATCTACTGCGCATTCCCAGGGGTAAATTCTTCAGCACCTACGAAAATAGGCCAAGACACCTATAAACACAATCTGCTCTAATACAGGAAGCTATAGAACTGATGAAAGCATTACAAATTGATGGCAAACCAAAAAGCCTCTCACCACCCCAAAACCCATTAGCAGACACTGATATACAATGTTGCACCCAACTGTTTAACAATTTCAAGAAAGCAAAACACCTCTCCCGAACAGATGTGTTCATTGGCCCTTGAGATAATCAGTGTGAACTATCCTGCCGATCGATAACTCCAAGTCTTCACTGACGGGTTATATATAGAAAACCAAGTAAACGTTGGTGCAGGTGTCTATTCTGAACTCTTCTTTTTCTACGCAGAAGCGGAACACAAAAGATCCGCTTTCGAACGAGAAATAGAGGCCATTAGGATAGCACTATACCAATTATGTTCTCTCGATCCTAAATTCACCAAAGCGGTGATACTTTCGGACTCATAGTCAGCAATAAACTCAATTGGAAGCAGAGAGCCACCCTAAAGAGCTGAGCTAAACGAATGTAGAAAACTCTATCAGCTGCTGAGAGAGAAAAACAAAACAGTGGTCCTACAATGGATTCCTGGTCACTGTGGCATTAAAGGCAATGAGCTTGCTGACACACTTGCTAAGAAGGGGACAACGATTTTGCAATGTATGGACCGGCCGATGTCTATCCACACGATGAAGGTCTTAATCAGGAGAGAATTTCACACCTCAAGGTGCAACGAACTTAAAGCTCGAATAAAGGAGAAACAGTGGACAGTGGCCCTCTCCGACATAGTCGACTGGCCAAGAATCGAAGCCGTTGCTGAGTTTAACTTTGGCCAAGAATCGAAGCCGTTGCTGAGTTTAGACTACGTACCGGTCTCGATTGCTTAGCAAAAACCTTCATAGATTTGGAGTATACACTCAACCAACATGTCTCCTATGTGACCTACAGGAGGAAGACTCACCTGATTCGGTGTCCGGTCCTAAGGACAACGACGGAAAACCAGAACCCCCTTGTGAAAGCCGAAGTCAACTAAGGGGCTAATGATAAATGTCATAAAGCTTGGCATTTGAAATAATAATAATAATAATAATTTTAAGAAATATCTATTAGATAAGGAATTTTAAAATTAAAGGGATCGAAGTCCCAAAAGGTGTTTGAATGACGGACATGAGTGCCAAGAAGCCCAAAGAATATATATAGGTCCCGTGGAAATTACTGGTTGCTATGGTGGCCGCAATTCTATCTCAGCCTGTGAAGTGAAAATGAAAACAATTTCTTAATCTAACTGATGACCGTAGCATTCAACGTTTGGTTTCCAAATGATTCCACACGCTGCTTCCATATTACCTTCGATCTGACTAAGTAGTTGCATAACATGCTGCCAATCAGGGTGAAANCAAAAGATCCGCTTTCGAACGAGAAATAGAGGCCATTAGGATAG